ATTGAAAACACCCCCAGACCACCCCAGGCTGCCAGAGGATCCTTCAGGTTCCCTCTGTCCCTGCACACGGGATGGGGAAGCTCCTGTGTGTGGATGGATGGACTCGTACCCAGCCAGACCCAGACCCTGCAGCTGCATCAGTGCCTGCATCAGGGTGGGGTGGGCATCCCTGAGGAGCTGGGGCTCCTCTGTAAGGGGGGGTCCTTCTAACTGGGGTTCCTCTTTAACAAGGGCTCCTTGCAATGCAGGGACTGCCTGCAGTGAAGTATCCCCATAATGGGGGCTTGCTGCAATGGGCTCTTCCTTTAATGGGGGCTCCATACAATCAGGGATCCCCAGAATGGGGACTCCTCCCTAACAGGGGCTCTGTACAATGGGGGCTCCCCATAATGGGAGTCCTCCCCACATGGGGACTCTCTTCAGTGCATGCTCCCCATAGTGGGGACAATGAAATCCCTTAGTGGGACTTCCCCCACTGTAGACTCCCCATATGGCTATTCCTCCATAACGGGAGGCTTGCTGCAATAGGAACCCTTCCATACCAGAGGTTCCCCGTAATGAGCGGTTGGAGGGGGAGGATTACCCTGTACAGGGCGGGCAGAGACCCGAGCAGCTCATTGCACATGTGGCGCGCTGGGCTGGGCTTGACCCTCTCGTCCCATCCCGTCCCATCCCGTCCCATCCCCTCCTCCGGCCGGCCCACACGCACACCCAGCCCTCCTCCTCCCTGCCCGTCCTCCTCCTCCTCCTCCCACTTCCTCCGCACGATGCAAGCTGCCGGTCGAGCGGGGAGGCGGCAGCAGGACCCCCCCCGCCTCCGAGTCCCCCGCACGGCCCCGTAGAGATGCTCCGAGGGAGGCACCGCTCCGCAGCCGGAGGTGAGTATGGGATGGGGCCAGAGGCCGGGGGAGCGCACCGGGGCCAGCGCGTTGCGGGGACCCCCGGAGGGTGCAGCTCCTGGCCGGGGGCATGGCTGCAGGAGGGCTTCCCCCCGCTTTCCTGCACCCTGTGCGGGTGTTTTGCTCCCGATATCTCCTTCTGGTCGTGCGATGCAGGGAGAAATGGGGTTCAGCGGGTTAGATCCCTGGCTCCGGACCCTGACCCCCATTTTTCCCCATGGATGCGTTGGGCATCGGCCACGTGAGCGAAGTGTCCGCGGGGCCGAACGTGCGTTGGCTCCCCTGCGAGAGCAGGAACCGGCCGATGGTTATCGTGGTGATCGCGATAGCGTTGCCTGCACAAACGCTGTGACCGTGCGGACAGGACAGAATGACGGACGCGTGTGTCCAGCCCGGACCTCGTGGCTAGGCAGGAGCGTGTCACTGCGGTGCCTGTGGCCAGCCTGGGACGTGACACCCATGGCGTTGGATCGATGCGGTTTTACTCGTGTATAGATAAGGGTTTAACCCGTTAAATGCTCAGCTATTCTGGAGGCAGTCGCTGTGCTGGCTGCTACGTGCTTAATTAAGGGGTTTTTAATATAAAAATGACTATTCTGGGGAGCTTTGAGGAGCAACCACCTCATGTGCAGTGCGAGCAGGGATTCCTGCACGCATTCCCTGAGGATACTGCCTTGGTCCGAGTGAAGGCTCCAAGCGGGCTTTTGCCTCCTCGGGGAAAGCTCGGGAGCTGCAAACTTTCCTGAAGAGGGATAAGGTCTGGAATGGGGAAGCTGGGACCGCTGAGGCCTCTTGTTTGCTCTCCCAGATGGCCTCAATGGAGGGAACCTTGCTGGCCACCGCATCCCAACCCATCGGGGAGGTGGGAAAACTGATCCCCGGCGGGGACCCAGCGCCCCCGTGGCTGTGAAAGCGGTGTTAGAGCCGGACGGGAAACCACCTTCGTCCCGCGGGACACGGTCCTGCTTCGTGGTGACACGGGAAAAGCCCCTCCGCTGGGGACCCTCGGGTGGGGGGGGCGGAGGGGGTGCCGTGCGATGGGTTCGGGGGTGCTGGTGCCAGCGGGATTTGGAGATTGTGGGGTTTGTTTCTTGACCCCTGTGAGCTGGCGGCTGTTTCTCCGCATCACGTGGCAATGGAGGAGGCGGGAGGCTGCGGTGAGAGGCTTCCACCTCTCACTGCCGCGTTTTAGGGCATCGCATCCTGGGGAGGAAGTGCCGGGGAGCCCTGTGCTGTGCCCCGGCGATAACGGGCACGGCCGCGCTTGACGAGCTCTGGGAGCAAAAAAGGGGGTGCCTGAGCAACCCAACGGCGCAAGGAGCACCGGTGGAGGGGGCTCAGCAGCCCTCCCGTGCGCCTCCAACACCCGAAACGATGCAGATAACGCTGGCTGCGGCTTGCGAGCGCTTATCGGGGAGGTCTCCCCTGCACGCAGCCGTTTGGGAGATGCTGCGTGCTCCTTCTCGTTTGGTTCGATTTTTCTCCCTCCCAGCCAAACAGCCCCTTATGAAAAACCCCCTGCGAAGAAGAAGGAGGGGAAAAACAAGTTTAAAAGTACTAAAAAGAAAGAATGAATGGACTGTGTTTAACCCACCCGCTGCTTTCGCCAGCTGTGGGGTTTCGGTATCACAAGCACGGGCTACATGTGTTAGTGTTGACTCCGGCATCCCCCCAGCCCCGAACCCCGTGTGCTCCTCTCCTCCCTGAGAGCTCTCCCGTGGCTGGGGGGAAGGAAGGAGGCTGCAAGGGGATATCCCCAGCGGGCTGATGGGGATGGCAACAGCAGGGCCGTGTTCTTGGGGCAGACAGCGCAGGTGTGGGGATGGCGCCAGCCCAGCAAAGCCCCAGCGTATTTCATAGAGAGAGCCCATTAGTGCCCTCGCCCTAATGAGGTTACTGAGCTCAGCCTTATCAGACATCAGAGCACCCATGTGCCTGGCTCCGGCCGCAGCTGGGAGGTGGCTTGCTCAGTTCTGCATCCCTGTGGCAAGGCCAGCTGGAGCTGGCCACCCCTGCTTCCTTTTCCCACTGCATCGCTGTTCCCAAGGGGAAAGGTCTCCTTGTAACGGGGTTATGAGGCCTTTTCCTTCCTCCTCTGCTGAAGGGGGGGGTTCCCGCTGCTGCAGTGGGGTTTGGAAATGGGTGATTGCACCAGCGCTGCCTCCTGCAGCGTCACCAAATCCTACACAATGGCATGGCCGGTTGCGCAACATCACCGCCACGGGGATGTGGATCCCTGAGCTTCAGGGAAAGGGGAAATGTCGGAAGTCACAAGATCCCGGATTCCTGTCCCACCCTGAGCATCATCACTGCATGGAAAGGATCCCAAACAGCATCTCCCAGGATTTAAACACCAGCCACCTGGAGACATCCCTCTTGGGCTTGTGGTGGATGGGGAAAGGAGAATAAGCCAGTTGGAGGTTTTTAGGGTTTTCTCCCCATTTTCCTAGGGTCTAAGAGATGGCAAATTTGATTGGTACTGGTATCCCTGGCAGTGCTCAAGGCCAGGTTGGACACAGAGGCTTGGAGCAAGCTGCTCCAGTGGAAGGGGTCCCTGCCCGTGGCAGGGGGTGGAACTGGGTGATCTTAAGGCCCTTTCCAACCCAAACCATGCCATGATCCCCTGGATGTCTTGGAAGTTACTGCAGGGTTCCTGAGGATAAAGCTTGGAAATGATGCGGTTGCCCCACAACCCCTTTATTTGGAGAACTGCTTTTGAGAGTGCAGCTGGGGATAGGAGCTTCCCTCTCAACTGCAGCAGCCCTCCAAAGGGGAGACAGCATCCTCCCTGGAAAGCAAGGAGTTGGGGAGGTTTGGCAAAGGAACCCAACCTGAAGGAGCAGTGGAGGGGTGCACCCTGCTCTGCTCGGTCACCCCGGAGCTGCTGTTCTAGGGGAAAACCACTGGCTTTGGGCTGTCCCCTGGTCTCCTCCTGGGCCATGGAGGGGACAGAGCTGCAGCTGGGGGGCTGCTGGACCTGGGAGCCCTGTATGGGCCTGCATGGAGAGCTGGCAGTGGGGTGCTCCTCAGAGCGGGCTGCGTGCGGCTCTGGGCTCCAGCCGTGCTCAGGTCCCTTATCCACCCTCACAGGTCTCCCCAGTTATCAGCTCTGTTTCCCTCCTGTGGGCTTTTATCTTATCTCCACACTCTTCCTCTGCTTCCTAATTCCTGCCACCGAAAGGGAAAAGAAACCATGGGTGTGTATGTGTGTGTGTGAGCAGGCATGAGATCTCCTTCTAGCAGCTCCAGCAGTGGGGTGGGAGGTGGCAGGCCATGCCTGGAGGATGCTGGGTGATGTTGGGGAGATGCTGGGAGATTCTGAGGGACATTTGGAGGAGCAGGGTGATGTTTGGCCGTGCTGAGGATGCTGAGCCGTGGTCCAGTGATGCTCAGGCAGGCCTTGGGGCTTGCTTGGGTGATGTACACAGTGCTCAGGTGATGCTGGGAGGATACTGGGAGGAGGTTCAGTGATGGTGTTCGGGCTCACGTGGTGCTCAGGTGTCTCAGTGAGATGCTCAGGAGGTGCAGGGCGGTACTGGGGGGATGCTGGTGATGGCTGGAGATGCTGGGGGCATCATTGGGATGCTCAGAGGATGCTCAAGGGGATGCAGAGCAGTGCTGGGACGGTCTGCCAGCTCCACCTGCTGGCATGCACGCTGTGGGCCGGAGCCCAAAACCGGGAGAGAGCAGGGAGAAGGCTCTCCATGAGCTAATCCCGAGCTTCCCCACTGAGGATCTAATGATGCTTCCCAGTGGGTTGGTTTGGTTTAGGATCTCTGCCAGCTCCCAGGGGGATGGGAGAAGGGAAACAAGTCCTTGTTGTCCTTGGCAGGGGCTGACCCTGGGACAAGCAGGACTTCCCCTCCTCTCCGTTAGCCCCCCAGTGTGATGCTCAGCATCACCCCTGGATAAGGAAGGGCTGCATGGGAGAAGCAACACGCTTTCTCCAGTGAGCACACGGCAGGGTCACTTCGGCGGGCTCTGGGCAGCCCCTATGTATCCCCCCATTGCTGCTCCAGCTTGGGCTGTGCGCTCGCCATGGGGACTCGCCGTGCTTATGGTTTGTTCCCTCTCTCCCGCTCAGGAAGGCCAGCTCACCTCTCCCACCTCCCACTGTGCCGCCAGCACCCTACAAATGGCCTCAAAACGTAACGTGGAGCCTCTGGACCCTGTGACCTTCATCAAGCTACCTCGGCTGGAGCAGGACCCCCGCGCCAGCTTCCCTACGGGCCACTGCAAACCGGGCTCCAAGCCCCATTTGGACTACAAGGGCTCCTACTTTGCCTGTGCGCTGCAGAGCCCCGATGGCCCCAGGGCGCCCTATGTGCACCAGAGCCCGGCACCTCCCCACTTGCACTATGGCACCGGTGCCGGCAACCAGCCCGTGCCGCCGGAGGGGCCAGGGGAGCGCTGCCCCCCCAACCCAGCTGAGAGCGTGGGGCTCGGGCTGCAGCCCCCCCATGCTGCTGACACGGGCAGGGACAGGCTGGTGCCAGAGCCACTGGGGGCCAGGGAGAAGTGGGGCAGCGCGGGGCCAGGGAACTGCTTCGTGGTGAGGCACCTGGCAAGGGTGACCAGGGCACCCGCCCTGGCTGTGCCCAGGCCCATGTACAGGGCTCCTGTGTACTTCATGGACCTCCGGGTGGCTCAGCCGCTGCAGCAGAGAGCAGGCAATGCAGACTGGGCTGTGCCCGCCGCCAGCCGCCCCTTCCACCCCGGGGAGCACAGGAGAGGACCGCACGCTGACCCCAGGCTCCCAGTGCTGCACCCCGGCCTGGCACTGCCCGCCAGGGAGAAGATGGGCTCCCCGGCTGCCTTCTCCTCCTCCTACGCTGCCTTTCACCAGTACCAGAGCCCCCCCCAGTCCCCGTTCCTGGATGACGGCCCCCCCAGCCAGAGGAAGGTGCCTGAGACGCACAGGCTCAGCCCGGACCCCTGGCACAAGCTCTGTCCCCCCGCCACCAGCACCGTGTACCAGGAGAGGCCACCCGAGCATTACCCATCCCTCCATAAAGCTCCCCTCTATCCCCTGCGGATGCCCCACATGGAGGCACAGCCCTGTGCCTACAGAGCCTTTGGCTTCGAGGGAAGCAGGGAGCCCTATCCCGGCACTTACCTCAGGCCCCAAGCCCCATGGAGATTCTTTCTCGCCCCGTCGGACACCTCCGTGCCCACGGCAGCCAGCGCGGTGGCATCGTCCCCTGCCAAGCCAGCGGCGCTGCCGAGGGATGCGAAGCCATCGAGGCAAGAGGGATACGTGCTGAGCTCGGGCTTTGCCTTCAGTCCGGGTGGCACGGCTGTACCCAGCACCTCCGGAGCGCACACGGAGCCGGGATGCGAGCAGCACCAGGCAGAAGGGCCCCCTCAGCCGGTGGTGGGGAGGCACAGCAGCGCTTTCCAACCCGTCTGCACCCAGGAGGCACCGGGGGGCTCCAGTGGGATCCCAGAGGCCTTTCCCAAAGGAGAAGGGGGCTTAGGGAAGCAGGAGCTGGCTAAAGAAGAGAGAAGAGCCAGCTCGCCCCCCCAGGAGCCCCCCCGTGAGGGACCCCTGGCTCTCATCATCGTAGAGGAAGGAGATGCTTGCAAGGTCAAGGATGCAGATGAGGATCTCATCCCTCCTTCTCCCCCTGCATCCCTGCCAGAGGGGCTGGAAGAGCCAAGGGACAGCGCGGTTCCTCCTCCCTCCCCACCCATGCCAGTGATCAAACGGGTCTTCAGCCTGGCATCCTATGGAGGCTTCCTGGAGGAGGCTGAGGGCTTGGACCTGTGGGAGGATGAGGCACCCCCAGGCGCGGAGCCCGGTGCGGAGGGCCAGGAGCTGGTGCAGGAGCAAGGGGAGCCTGGAGAGCCGGAGCCCGTGCCCCTGGGCTGTGAGGAGGAGGCGCTGGACCTCAGGGTGAAGAAGAGATGGGTGGAAATCGGGGAGAACCTCTGGGTGCTGGATGGGGAAGGGGGGAAGGAGGGGGAAAAGGATGCGGAGAGGGAGGCGGGATGGGGAGCGGGAAAGGGAACCCAGCCCCAGAGGGAGCCCTTCCCGCTCAGGGTCATGTCCTGGGACAGGAGCAGATTCCAGAGCTCGGCCTCCTCCATGGCCCTGCGCTCCCCCTCAGCTGCACCCAGCACCAGCCCTGCTCCATCCAGCACCGTTCCTGCTCCATCCAGCACCATTCCTGCTCCATCCGGCACCGTTCCTGCTCCATCCAGCACCATTCCTGCTCCATCCAGCACCATTCCTGCTCCATCCAGCACCATTCCTGCTCCATCCGGCACCGTTCCTGCTCCATCCAGCACCATTCCTGCTCCATCCAGCACCGTTCCTGCTCCATCCAGCACCATTCCTGCTCCATCCGGCACCGTTCCTGCTCCATCCAGCACCATTCCTGCTCCATCCAGCACCATTCCTGCTCCATCCGGCACCGTTCCTGCTCCATCCAGCACCGTTCCTGCTCCATCCAGCACCATCCCCGCTCCATCCAGCACCATTCCCACTCTAGGCAGCACCAGTCCTGCTCTGTCCAGAGCCATTCCTCTATCCAGCACCATTCCTGCTCCATCCAGAGCCAGTCCCGCTCCATGCAGAGCCAGTCCCGCTCCATCCAGAGCCATTCCTGCTCTATCCGCCACCATTCCTGCTCCATCCGGCACCATTCCTGCTCTATCTGGCACCATTCCCGCTTCATCCAGCACCATTCCTGCTCCATCCGGCACCATTCCTGCTCCATCCAGAGCCATTCCCGCTCCATCTGGCACCATTCTCGCTCCATCCGGCACCATTCCTGCTCCATCCAGAGCCATTCCCGCTCCATCTGGCACCATTCTTGCTCCATCTGGCACCATTCTGACTCTAGGCAGCACCAGTCCTGCTCCATCCAGAGCCATTCCTGCTCTATCCAGAACCATTCCCTCTCCATCCAGAGCCATTCCCACTCCATCCAGAGCCATTCCTGCTGTGTCCAGCACCATTCCTGCTCCATCCAGCACCATTCCTGCTCCATCCAGCACCGTTCCTGCTCCATCTGGCACCATTCCCACTCCATCCAGCACCATTCCCGCTCCATGCGGCACCATTCCTGCTCCATCCAGCACCATTCCTGCTCCATCCAGCACCATTCCCGCTCCATCCAGCACCATCCCCGCTCCATCCAGCACCATTCCCACTCTAGGCAGCACCAGTCCTGCTCTGTCCAGAGCCATTCCTCTATCCAGCACCATTCCTGCTCCATCCAGAGCCAGTCCCGCTCCATGCAGAGCCAGTCCCGCTCCATCCAGAGCCATTCCTGCTCTATCCGGCACCATTCCTGCTCCATCCGGCAGCATTCCTGCTCTATCTGGCACCATTCTCGCTCCATCCGGCACCATTCCCGCTTCATCCAGAACCATTCTCGCTCCATCCGCCACCATTCCTGCTCCATCCAGCTCCATTCCCGCTCCATGCGGCACCATTCCTGCTCCATCCAGAGCCATTCCCGCTTCATCCAGCACCATTCTCGCTCCATCTGGCACCATTCCGACTCTAGGCAGCACCAGTCCTGCTCCATCCAGAGCCATTCCTGCTCTATCCAGAGCCATTCCCTCTCCATCCAGAGCCATTCCCTCTCCATCCAGAGCCATTCCTGCTCTGTCCAGCACCATTCCTGCTCCATCCAGCTCCATTCCTGCTTTATCTGGCACCATTCCCGCTTCATCCAGCACCATTTCCGCTCCATCCGGCACCATTCCTGCTCCATCCAGCTCCATTCCTGCTCCATGCGGCACCATTCCTGCTCCATCCAGCTCCATTCCCACTCCATCCGGCACCATTCCTGCTCCATCTGGCACCATTCCTGCTCCATCCAGCACCAATTCTGCTCCATCCGGCACCATTCCCACTCCATCCAGCACCATTCCCGCTCCATCCAGCACCATTCCCACTCCATCCAGCACCATTCCCGCTCCATCCAGCTCCATTCCCGCTCCATCCAGCTCCATTCCCGCTCCATCCGGCACCATTCCCGCTCCATCCAGCACCATTCCTGCTCCATCCAGCACCATTCCTGCTCCATCCAGCACCAATTCTGCTCCATCCAGCACCATTCCCGCTCCATCCAGCACCATACCTGCTCCATCCAGCACCATTCCCGCTCCATCCAGCTCCATTCCCGCTCCATCCAGCTCCATTCCCGCTCCATCCGGCACCATTCCTGCTCCATCCAGCACCATTCCCGCTCCATCCGGCTCCAGTCCTGCTCCATCCAGCACCAGTCCTGCTCCATCCAGCACCATTCCTGCTCCATCCGGCACCATTCCCGCTCCATCCGGCACCATTCCCGCTCCATCCGGCACCATTCCCGCTCCATCCAGCTCCATTCCCGCTCCATCCGGCACCATTCCTGCTCCATCCGGCACCAATTCTGCTCCATCCAGCTCCATTTCCACTCCATCCAGCTCCATTTCAGCTCCATCCAGCACCATTCCCACTCCATCCGGCACCATTCCTGCACCATCCAGCACCATTCCTGCTCTATCTAGCATCATTCCCACTCCATCCAGTACCATTCCCGCTCTATCCAACATCATTCCTGCTCTACCCAACACCTTTCCTCTTCTATCCAGCACCATTCCTGCTCTATCCAGCCTCTTTCCTGCTCTATCCAGCACCATTCCTGCTCTATCCAGCCTCTTTCCTGCTCTATCCAGCACAATTCCCACTGCAGCCAGCATCATTCCTGCTCTATCCAGCAGCATTCCTCCTCTATCCAGTACCATTCCTGCTTTATCCAGCACCATTCCCACTCCATCCAGCACCGCTCCTGCTCTACCCAGCACCATTCCTGCTCTATCCAGCACCATTTCTCCTCTATCCGGTACCATTCCTGCTCTATCCAGTATCATTCCTCTATCCAGCATCATTCCCGCTCTATCCAGCACCTTTCCTCCTCTATCCTGTACCATTCCCACTCCATGCAGCACCATTCCTGCTCTATCCAGCACCATTCCCACTCTATCCAGCACCATTCCCGCTCTGCCCAGCATCATTCCCGCTCCATCCAGCATCATTCCCGCTCCATCCAGCACCGTTCCCACTCTGCCCAGCACCGTTCCCGCTCCATCCGGCACCATTCCCACTCCATCCAGCACCATTCCCACTCTATCCAGCACCATCCCCGCTCCACCCAGCTCCATTCCCTCTCCTCCCACCAGCCCGCAGCCCAGCCCAGCGCCGCCTCCAGCGCCCTGCAGCATCTCCCCCGGTGCCTCCCTGCAGCGCGGTCCCCATCCCAGCCCCATGGCGGTGCCGGAGCCCCCCTGCTCGGCACCGGGCGAGGACGCGGTGCCGCTGCCCTCCGCCGGCCACTGCTTCACCGCCCTGCACACGGGGCTCTGCGACCTCCTCTCGGGCTCCGTGACCCGCTCCTCCCCGCAGCGCCTGCGGGAGTGGCTGCAGAAGGCGGAGCCGGAGGAGGAGCAGGGGGAGGCGATGCCCAGATCCCCCCCCCTCGATGCCAGGAACGGCTCCCGGCTCCCCGAGCATCACAAGGCCGCCAAGGGCAAGGAGGTCTGGTTGGCTTTCCAGGACGTGCCCGCTCTCCTCGCCAGCCTGCTGGCCCAGCTGGAGGCCTTCACCTTTGCTCACACGTGCCCGTTCCCACACGTGGTGCGGGCAGGGGCCGTCTTCATCCCCATCCATGTGGTGAAGGAGCAGCTCTTCCCCAAGCTCCCTGGCGTCTCCGTGGACCAAGTGCTGCAGGAGCACAAGGTGGAGCTGCGCCCCACCACGCTCTCGGAGGAGAGGCACCTGAGGGACCTGGAGCTGAAGAGCTGCACCTTGCGCATGCTGAAGCTCCTGGCGCTCAAGCAGCTCCCCGACATCTACCCGGACCTGCTGAACCTGCACTGGCACAACTCCATCAAGCAGCAGCTCGGTAAGCAGCCCAGCATCTCCTATGGATCCTGCAGGGAAGCTCCGGCTCCGTGTGCCTCCCAGATGCAGCTGATCTGCTTGCATTGTCCCTCAGCATCCTGGTCCTCCCAAGGGTTCTGTGGACATTTGGTCCCTGTGAGGGTGCTGAGGCGCTGGCACAGGGTGCCCAGAGAAGCTGTGGCTGCCCCATCCCTGGCAGTGTTCAAGGCCAGGTTGGACACAGGGGTTGGAGCAAGCTGCTCCAGTGGAAGGGGTCCCTGCTGTGGCAGGGGTTGGGGCTGGATGAGCTTTAAGGTCCCTTCAACCCAAACCATCCTGGGTTGTGGAGGGGGAAGGCCTGAGCTGGAGGTGGTGATGGAGCCAGGGGATGAGGAAAGTCATTCTGGGGGTACCAGGGGGTGGTTTCACTGCTGCTCAAGGCTGTTGCCAACAGCTTCATCTCTTCCAGGTTCGAGCTCGACGGCTGGCAAGAATCCCTCCAAGTAGGTAACTTCCAGTGGGTGTGTTTGTAGGATTGACCTGTTCCGTGACTGTGTGTGTGTTTGTGTGCATTTGCCGTGATGATGGGAGCCTGGGCGGGCTGGGGAGGAGCACAGAGTGGCTCTGCTGGGCTGGAGGGGGGACTATTTGGGATGGGGAGGTGAAGACCCTGCCCTCCCTAAGCACGCTTTCCTCCCCCAGGTAGTCCTGGCATGGAGGTTCTGATGGCAAAGTGATAGCCATGGCTAGCACAAAGAACAAGGAGGCACGAAGGAATGTGCCAATGGCAAGAGCCGAGCCGCCTGTGATACGGATGCTGAGGATGGGGACAGGTCCTCCCGGGATGCTGATGCCTGGAACAGGGATGCTCCGGGGTGATGCGCTACCTGGCGTGGTACCCACAGGGATGTGCTCAAGCCCCTCACGGCAGCTGGAGCTGCATTTCTTTCCATGCCTCATCTTATAGAGCATCTCCCACCTCCATCCATGGCTGCAGCTGGAGAACCAGGAGGGAATGGTTGGAGTTCCAATGGAGCGGCTCCAAGAGGAGCATGGCGGTGCAGGGATGATTTACCACATCCCCTCCTCTCTGCTCTGACTCGCCTCTGCTGCTTTATACCCCCCATTCCCAATAAAGAAACCTTCCTCCTGGCTTTGAATCTTTCCAGGGCTCTGGAGGTTTAACCCATCTCGACTGCTCAAGGGAACCGCGACGTCGGGAGTCCCAGGACTGATTTTCTTCTTGTTTTAAATGAAGACATTTTTTAACTGTTATGAATTTACCTTTATAAGGAGCTGCTGCCTTCGGGTTACGTGGGGTTTGTATAAAAATAGAGTAATTTATACTTGTGGTTTATTTGAACTCGTCATTTCTCCTGTTCGCTGCGCTGGACCAGCGGGAGCTTGTTGGGGCCAAGGGTTTTGATCCCAATCGGAGCTTAAGATAGCTGCAAGAAGGCTTTAAAGGCAGCTAAAGAAGCTCAGCTCGCTGCGCCACGCACATCCCAGCTGTCCCAATGGAGAACGTGGGGCAACCTGGATGGAGATGTGGTGATGCCGGAGGGGCAGGAGAGGGGAGCGATGCAGCGAGACCCTGGGAGCAGAGGTGCATTCATCCCTGCATGGGTTGATGGAAAGCTGATGGGGATCCCAGGGGGAATCCTGCCAGCCTGCACCCCCCTTGTCCGGTCTGCAGCATCAGGACACAGCAGAGGCCTTACAAACCCAACACTGGGGTGTTCTTCCGGCTGACTCTGGGCGCGGAGGAGCACAGCAAGGATTTATTGTTCCTTTGTATTTCACTACAGGATGTATTTATTTTAAAACAACTAAAAATAAGGAAAAAAAAACCCACCAGGGACTCTTGTTTTGATCCGTGTGTTTCTGGTTTTCCATTGGGATGTGCTGGCCATGGATGGGATAGGGAGGAGGGATGCAGCTCTCCCTTGCCATCCACACGTGTGCATAGCACTGTAAAGCAGTGCTTGTTGATAATACTGTATCTTGTGTACATGTGTATATAGATATATATGAGAGGCTCCAGGGAAGAAAGTTCCTTCACTTTATTTAATGTTTTATAAGAACATGGATCCTAAGAGGTGCCTTGCCTCAATAAAAGGGTTTGGTTCATTCCAAACACCGTGCTTCAGCCTCTAATTGCCAGCATGGGCACCACGGGACCTTTCCAGGGACAAGGGGGGTCCCAAATCAGCACCCAGCATCACCCAGCATCACCCAGCTGCCTTGCACAGACCAAGCCACAGGTTTGGGTCCCCCCTGCAATGCACTTGCCAGCTTCTCCCTGCAGGAAGCCATGAGTGATGTGCCCATCTCTCCATCCACTGGTCCAGCGTGTGGCCTGCTGGGGGTGCCCCATGGGTGAGCACATCCCAGCACCCCTCAAGGCAACGTCCTGAGCCCCCCAGATGGAAGCTGGGCAGGAGGGTGCTGGTGGAGGTGCCTGCATCAGAGGCTGCTCAGGAGAGCTGTGGGTGCAGCAGGGATGGCAGCGGTCCCTAGGGTCCCTATCCCTTATGAACCTCTATGAGGAGCATGAAATCTGCCTGGTCCTGAGAACCGGGCACCCCGAGCCGTGTTTCCAGCCCGGATCACTCCAGAATAGGGGATTACAGGAAACATCCCCAGGCTGGTGCTTGGGAAACAAAGTGCCAAGGGCTCAATGAGGAGCACAGGGAAGCTGGGACCCTTCCAGAGGGAAAGAGCTTCACCTGGGGCTCTGCAAATGAGCTTGGGTGTGAATTGGGAGCAGCTGGAATGGAGCCACCATCAGGCCTTGGCAATGGGATAAAAGCACAGGGCTGGGCTGGGAGCTTGGTGCTCTCTTCCCCTTGGGTGCTGCCAGGTAATGGGTGCTGCTGGGCTGGAGCAGCCTGTGGGCTTTGGTGAGGTTATCAGGGATGTGTGGGGCAGGGAATGGGGTAACGGCTGAGCCCAAGGCTGGTTAAAGGAGCCTTCCTGGGTGATGCTGAGCCCTAGCACAAAGCCTCCTGAGCTGCTCAGTGCTGATGGGGACCAGGGAGGTGTTCGATGAGGGGCATCGTGTCCCTGGCTCTGGTGTGGGGGATGCTTTGGGTGTGGGATTGTCACTGGTGGGGGGGCAGTGGGGAGGGACCCAGCTTAAAGCCCCTCCTGTGTCTCTCCACAGCTGGGCTCCCCCCATGGCCTCTCCTGAGCCGAGCAGAGGGGTAGGACCCCCAGGCCCCATGGACACTGGTGCCCTGCAGCCACAACCCATGCCCTGTGCTGAGAGGGAAGGGGCCGGGGCTCCTGCTGCCTGTGGGCTGTGGTGCAAAGCCTTGCTGGTGCTGGGGGTCTGCCTGTCTGCCACTGCCCTCCCCTATGGCCTGGGGGCTCTGGCTGCCCTGCCGGGCTCCCTAGCACTGTCCCATGCTTGGCCTGACTCGCCAGGCTCCCAGAGAGAGACCAGGGCTGATCTGATGGCAACACATGGGGGTCTGCGTGAGGAGCCAGCGATGCAGCAGCATGGGAGGGTGCTGATGGGTTCAGTGGGCACCCCGGGGGTCAAAGGAGATGTGAGCCATGGGGTGGATGCTGAGGGATGGAGCGTGACCCATGGGGTGGATGCTGAGGGATGGAGCGTGACCCATGGGGTGGATGCTGAGGGATGGAGCGTGACCCATGGGGTGGATGCCGAGGGAAGGAGCGTGACCCATGGGGTGGGTACTGAGGGATGGAGTGTGACCCATGGGGTGGATGCTGAGGGATGGAGTGTGACCCATGGGGTGGATGCTGAGGGATGGAGTGTGACCCATGGGGTGGATGCTGAGGGATGGAGCGTGACCCATGGGGTGGATGCTGAGGGATGGAGCGTGACCCATGGGGTGGATGCTGAGGGATGGAGTGTGACCCATGGGGTGGATGCTGAGGGATGGAGCGTGACCCATGGGGTGGATGCTGAGGGATGGTGTACCAGATGCTGAGGGATGGAGTGTGACCCATGGGGTGGATGCTGAGGGATGGAGCGTGACCCATGGGGTGGATGCTGAGGGATGGAGTGTGACCCATGGGGTGGATGCTGAGGGATGGAGCCAGGGGTCGCAGACTGCTCACACCTCACTGCTGGGGCAGCCTGAGTGCAGGGACCAGGAAGGGCTCACGTTGGGCACAGCAGTGGCTGTGACACCATCCCCTGCGCAGTGGCTGGGTACGGGGGTGCCTGGTACCTCTGCTCAGCTCCTCCAGCCCCTGGGTGAGCCCGGCCCTGGCTCCTGGCGTGGCTCAGCACCAGGCTCACAGGATGCAGTGACCTCAGCCCCTGTGCCCCACGGAGCACATCTGAGCCTGGCTGTGAGCTCTGAGCCTGCTGCTGGGGTCACAGCCAGCACCCGGGCTCCCAGCAGCGCAACTGCACCCAATGGAGCTTCTGTTGCTGGAGCCCCAGCGGGGAGCTGCAATGGGCAGAAGGCAGAGGCGAGCCCAAGCCCTGAGCTTGGTGTGGGCGAGGACCCCACGGCTGCTCCTCCGCTGCCCCCGCTGCCCTCAGCTCCGCCGACAGGAGGGGTGTCCATCTCCAGCATCACTCATCCCGGCACTGAGTGGGTCCCCTGGGACACGCAGCCTGCGGGCACCTTCCTGCATGGAGCAGCTGCTCTGCCGCTGGACGCCTCAGCCAAGGCCACAGGAAAGGGGTCTGTGTCTGTGGGCACGGTCCTGGCGTCCCTTCCCAGTGCCGCACCGCCTCATGGGGTCACCCCCCCGCAAGTGCTGGCTCCTTCCCTTCCTACAGCGGAGCCTGCGGGACCTGCTGTCACCTCGGGGGAAGCAAGTGACCCATCTACGCCCATGGCACCCACCACAGCCCACCCCTCCCCAGCTCGGACCAGGGCTCCCAGTGCTGTGGGTCTCTCCGTGACTGGGGTGAGCGCAGCAGCAGCCCCTGATGCCACCGCAGAGCCTGAAGTGACCGAAGCCCCCCCCAAGGATGGAGCTGCTGTGGTGACCCCCCCCTCCCCACGAGCTGCAGCATCACCTGCCCAGGGGCCAACTCTGCATCCCGATCCCTTCCTCACAGCATCTGCGGATGGACCCTCTGCAGGGCAGCACCATGAGGCCACGACGGGGGCAGCGATGAGTGCTCTGCATGGAGCAGTGGCAGGAGCTGGGCACAGCGAGCCCAGCACAGCATCAGTGGGATCTGGTGCTGCCCCAGCAGGGCCTTCAGAGCCCCCCAGTGTCAGCCCGGGCTCCAAGCTGCCCGCTCTGGAGCATGGCTCTGATGCTGCGCACCCTGCTGGCATCACCTTCACATCCCCATCCCACCCGCTGGCTTCCACCAGAGCTGTGCATGCGGTCAGCTCCCAGCCTGTGCCCTGTGATGCTCAGCCCGTGTCCAGGCGCTCCGTCACCTCCCAGCAATCCTCCACAGGCACAGAGCATCTCCCTGCACATGAGCTGATACCCACGGGCAAACCCGGCTCCCTGGCTCCATCCCACCCCTCTGCTGCTCATGTGCTGCCCTTGCAGTTCCGGCTTTTGGGCATTACTTACACGGAGGCTCTGAGCACCAGGGCTTCAGAGAGCTACAGGCGGCTGGAGGAGGAAGTGATGCTGATGGTGAGTGCAGGAGTCGGCTGGTGGGGGTGCTGGTGCTTTGGGGTGCAGCGGAGGAGCCGGAGGGCTCTCTTCATGGTGGAGACAAGCAAATCCCACTGCTGGAGCTGGATGGGGCTCCTGGTTTGAGGTGGGACTTGGGCAGCCATCGGGGCTGTTTGTACACTGGTGGTGCTGTCTCTTGGCTGCTGTCTCTGTGCTGATGGAGCCCTGGCTGTGCCAGCTCAGCCAGGAACGCCCCCAGAGACCTGGAATACCCCTTCCCATGGGGCAGCTTGTAGAAGCTGCCCAGTTAACACGTGCTCCTCTCTTCCAGCTAAACCAGACCCTGTCCATCTATGAGACCTTCCTGCGGGCAACAGTCCTAGGCTTTATGTGAGTGGCAATGGGGAGAGGGGTGGCTTTAACTGGAGGGAAGGGTTTGCACAGCGAAATGCTCTTGTGAGGGGCTGCACTCCCTCTACAGGGGCATCATCCCAAGGGATCCCTGCCTGCAGGTGGTGGAAGCTCCACCCGAGTGCTGGCGTTGGGTGGGTGTCAGTGTGGGGATGGGGGGCTCACGGTCCCCTCTCCCTGCAGGAACGGCTCGGTGGTGGTGCGAGCGCAGGCTCTGTTCCGGGGGGATGCTCCTGCTCCCAGCAGCTCCCACCTCATCCGCACCATGGTCACGGAGGCGAGCAGAGGAAGGAGCTCCTTCAGCTGGCAGCTGGAGCCGTGGTCGGTCCAGTCCGGTGGTAAGCAATGGAGACCTCCCCAGAGCAGAGCTGCTGCTCTCAGCATCTTCCCTGTACCTCTGTCAAAGCCAGAACCTGCCCACTCCGCACTTAAGTGAAGCCTGAACATCCCAACCCATGCAGAGCCCTGTAGTGTTAAGGCTGCTGGAGGCAACATCTGCAGCAGTTGGACCTGTGGGGTGCAGTGTTCCTGCTAAACCCTGTGCCTTCCCCTCCTCAACCTGCTTCTCCTGTCCTGTCCTGCCAAGCCCTTCCCACCACTAAAGCCACTCCTCCTCATCCTGCTGTGCTGGGCTCTGTATTCAGTGCAGAGGATGCTCAAGACTGATAGGCCCAAGGATGGTGAAGGAGCAGGGATGAGTGTAACTGTCTGAACGCTTGTAGGGTTCAGCCTGCAGAACCTGGCCCCGGAGAAGCTGTCCATCTCCTTCACTGTCCTCCAGCCTGGCAGCAGCAGGACAGACCCCCTGGGGGGGCTGATCAGCAAGGTATGGTGAGCCTTGGGGGCTCTTCCCAATGATGATGCTGGGAGGATGGGCCCAGGCTGGCTGCTGCCTGCACCATGGGACAGCGCATCCTAAGGAAGGGGCAGGATGCGAGTTGTTTTCCCTTCATCCAGGTGACCGAGTCTCTTGGTGCCCTTCACCGTGTGAGGAACTTCACCATCACCCAGCTCAGGTATGGGGCACAACTGCCCAAAGCTCTTCCACTGCCCGTTGTGCTCTCTGTGGCATTGGCCATGCTGCAAGGGTGGGAAGGATGAGCTCTGCTGCACTAGGGAGCTCGGGAGGGTGATGTGGGGCTGGCAGCAATACCCTGGGCCTCGTCCTTGGGCTGAGCAATGAAAGCCCAGCGCCAGCCAAGGGTGTGCTTGGGGAGCCTGTTCCACCTCCCTGCCTTGCTTCAAGCCTTTCCTCCCCTAGAACCCACAGTGGGGACCTGGAGCTCACCGGAGACGTTTACCTTGACACCATCGCCCATGCGGATGTTCCGGAGGCTCTGCGAGCCCTGACAGCTCTGAGAGCCTGCTCTGTGGACCTGACCTCGCTCTCGCTGCAGGGTGAGCACAGTCCCTGTGTGCTGGTGGGGCTCGGGGCCAGGGTTCTGCTCACCCATCACCCTGCCTTACCCTGCCTTGCCTCCCCAGGAGCCAGGCTGCACCTCCAGCTGTACCCGCTCGCCCTCCTCATCACCAACAGGCGCTTCAGTGAGCACCTCCTGGACCCACGCTCTGCAGAGCACCGGGACCTCAGCAGGGGCATTGGGGATGCGGTAGGAACGGCTGGAGGGGGCGGAGGACCAGGGCCCTTCAGGGTGCTGGGGACCACGGGAGGAGGAGGAGGGGCTGCTTTGGGGCTGTCTGAACCAGACCCCATCTCCAGTGCTGTGCAGATGTCTGCTGGAGGCGGGCACTGGGGCTTCATTTGACAGGGTGCTGATGACACCTCTGATGGTGGTTCAAGGCACCACAGTACATGTGGAGGTGCTGCAGGTGCCCTGTGCTCCTGCTGGGGTGACTGACCCAGCCCCATCATCAGTCACAGAATCCCATTGGAAGGGGATCATCTGGTCTGATCTAAGCAAAGCATGACCCAGACCAGATGTCCCAGTGCTGGGAGTCCTCCCCTTCCCTGGGGAGGTGGAAGCAGGGATTTGACTGGGGGAAACCTTCCAGAGGCTGCTGTGGAGCTGAGCCCAAACCTCTCTTCCAGGTGGCGAAAGCCCTGAGGGACCACAGGAGCTTCCTGCAAGTGCTGATAAGAGCATTCCTGTGAGTGGGAGCAGAGGCTCTGCTGGGGAGGGCTCCCCATAGACATCAACAGCCAGGTCATGGCTCTTGGCACGAGGGCCTGCAGCAGGCACCCTCAGGGGTGTCCCTGCCACCCCAAAGAGCAGATCCAGACCCATTGCCTCCCTGAGCAGCACTGGTGTGTGGTGTCGGGGGGGGTCATGATGGGACTGGTGGCTGCTGGAGCTCTTCCTACCTCCCCCTACAGGCCAGGCTCCTTGATCTGCCATGGGGACTTGGTCTTCCTGCACCCAGCTCCAAGCAGCCTGGAAGTGTTGGAGGCGCTCGTGCTTTCGGTTGGGTCAAACAAGGCTTTGGCTGGTTCGGACTTCCAGGTGGATCCGTACTCCCTTGCTGTAGGAGGTAAGCATCCCTTTGGGCAGGGGTGGAGAAGCCTGTGGCTCCATGCGGGGTGAGCAGCTTAGATGGATAACCAGCTAGATCCAGGTCCATTCTGGCAGCAGCCATGCCCTCATCCCTGTCTCCGATGCTCCATGTGCTGCAGGCTGGCAGAGGACAGGAGGGAAGGGTCACCTCCTGCAGGGATGTTATTGCCCTGTGTCCTGTGCTAACCTGGTATCCCACCCACTGATCCAACCCCTTGTGCTCTGCTCCAGAGGACAGCCTGGAGCCTCCCCTGCCCGAGCCGGGCTTCCCAGAGTATGGTGTGGCCATCGTGGTGGTGTGTGGCCTCGTTATCATCACTGTTCCTGTCGTCTTGCTGCTGGTAAGGGCCCTGTCTGTGCTGTGGGGGGGCAGGATGAACCGGGGTGAAACAGCGCTGGTCTCTGAGCAGAGGGACCATTGAGGATCAAGGTGGCTGCAGCCCCTGTGCTCTCCTCCCTAGTGCTTGAGGACCAGGAGGCTGAGGTGGTGGCATGTGGCACCCCTCTGGGACAGAAGAGACCCTGGAGCAGGGGTCCAGACCCTGGAAATGGATAACCAAGGCTTCTGGGCATCCTCTGAGCAGGTGAGTGTCTTTCTAGGCCCTTGAATCGAGCTCCTGTGGTGCAGGTCCCTTATGTACCTGAGGGCTTGAGGCAGCCCTGTGGGGATGGAGACCTCCCTGCCCTTGGTGGCACAGCTTCTCCCTCTCTCCCCACAGGGTGCTGGGGATGCTCAGCCACGTTGGCAAAGCTCCCCTGCCTGAGGAGAGGAAACGCAGCTGATGGGGGAGCCTGAGGAGCAGCTATGGGGGGAGAGATGCCAAGAAGCCGTCCCTGCTCCCTGGGGGATGCAGGCTCAGGGGATAGAGGAAGAAAACTGTATGTTGGACTTTATTAAACTGTTTATAAGATGCCAAAGGCAGTGGTGTAGGGCTCTGCTTCTGGGCTAGGTTTGCTGCAGCCTCTGCCTCACCAGGCCCTAGTGATGTGGGTTAAAGGGGTGAGGAAATGCTTCCCTCGTGGGGCTGGGGTGAGGGAATTGGGTCCTGGGTGCTGCCCGTCAATGCAGCAGGCTCAGCACCCATGGCTGGGGGATGTCAGTAACGCCAAGGAGAAGCATTAGGGTTTTTGCTATCCAAAAGCATGCTTTTCCTATGCTCTGGAGGCACGAAGCAGCTCTACAGACAGATCTCTATTCCAGCTCCAGGGTCAGTGCTGCAGCTCTGCCCCACAAGCTTTAATGCCAGCCCCACTCTCAGTGTTTCAGTTCCTGCTCTGCCCCAAGGCACTTCCAGCCCTAAAGGGCTTATTTCAGCCTCAGCACTGGGAAATCCCAGCTCAGCCCTACAGGGTTTTACTGCAGCTCAATCCTGCAAGCTTTACGGCCGGCTCCAGTTCTGCATGGTCTTGGCTCCAGACCCACAGTTGGTGTCCAAGCTTCAGCTCAGCCCCATCCTCAACTCATTTCAGCTCATTCCCACAAGCTTTATTTTCCAGCTCCTTGGAGATTCACTCCAGTTTGGCTCTGCCTTATCCCAGCTGCAGCCAAGATCCCAGTCCCAGCAGATCCCAGCAGAAGGGAAGATCCCAGCCCTCAGTGATTTCACCTCATTCCCACAATCTCTATTCTCCAGCCCCAGCGCTTTCATTCCTCAGCCCTGGCTCTGTGGAGGTTCAGCTCTGGCTCCAGAGGCTGTATTCCACCACAGCTTCAGGAGATCCCAGCCCAACCCAGTGTCTCTAGTTCAGCTCAGTCCTATGGGATTTATCCAGATCCAGCCCCACACTCAGTGTTTCAGCTCATTCCCACAAGCCGTACTTTCCAACTCCAGGAGATTCATTCCAACCCAGCTCTATCTTACCCCTGCTCCAGCTGAGATCCCATCTCCAGTCCCAGCCCCAGACAAGACCACAGCCCTCAGTGATTTCAGCTCATTCCCCCAAGCTTTATTTTCCAGCTCCAGGAGATTCATTCCAATCTAGCTCTGCCTTATCCCAGCTCCAGTCTGCAGCCAAGATCCCTGTCCCAGCCAAGATCCCTGTCCCAGCCAAGATCCCTGTCCCAGCCAAGATCCCTGTCCCAGCCAAGATCCCTGTCCCAGCCATTTCACCTCATTCCCACAAGCTTTATTTGATAGCGGAATAGACCCCACAACTTGGTTAAAGCTGTAAAGTAGGTATGCTTTATTCAGCTGAAGGCGCACGGGGGATTGCTCCTCCAAAAGTGCCTCAGTGCCGTTTTCCTTTTACATTTATCCTGTAAAGTCATACATAGGTATTAGGCTGCACAATACGCCTATACATATTCATATTCTATCCCCGCTTCGTATTAAAATGAGCTAAAAGGCTCTCCACGCATGCGCAGCGCCTCCTGGTGGTCTTGGGCAGGGGTCTTCAGATGAAGTAAGTAGTCTTCCTCTTGTGGGTAGGGGTCTTCAAGATGAAGTAAAGGAGTCTGCCTCAGGCTTGAACTTTTTACCTCTGGTCCTCACGCCTGCTCTTTAGGAGCTGGATGGGTCTGGTCCATGTCTAGCTGGTTTAACGGGCTATTCCCTTCGCTAGGAAGCCTTATCTTAGTGCTGTCTGATAAGGCAACTGCTGGGCTTGTGAAGCCAGCCATGATTTAAGCAGTACTCCTTGTACAACCCCCATTCTCCTCACTAGGAGGTTTTGTTCTGGTATTTGTCTGATAAGACATCTGCTGAGCTCGTTAAAACAGCTATGACTTAAGCAGTACCCCCCTGTACATTTTGACAACCCCCCTGTACATTTTGTCTAACCCCCTTGTACACAATAGGCCACATCAGTTTCATTATTCTCCAGCCCCAGTGCTTTCATTCCTGCCCTGCCTCTGTGGAGGCTCAGCTCTGGCTCCAAGGTCTCTAATGCAGCCCAGCTCCAGATCTCAGCCCCAGAGCACTGTCTCTAGTTCAGCTCAGTCCTGTGGGACTTACCTAGGTCCAGCCCCACACTCAGTGTTTCAGCTCATTCCCACAAGCTTTATTTTCCATCTCCAGGAGATCCATTCCAACCCAGCTCTATCTTACCCCAGCTGCAGCCAAGATCCCAGTCCCAGCAGATCCCAGCCCAAGGGAAGATCCCAGCCCTCAGTGACTGCAGCTCATTCCCACAAGCTTTATTCTCCAGCCCCAGCGCTTTCCTTCCATCCCTGGCTCTGTAGAGGCTCAGCTCTGGCTCCAGAGTCTCTATTGCAGCCCAGCTCCAGGTCTCAGCCCCAACCCAGTGTCTCTAGCTCAGCTCAGCCCTATGGGATTTAATCAGATCCAGCCCCACACTCAATGTTTCAGCTCATTCCCACAAGCTTTATTTTCCAGCTCCAGGAGATTCATTCCAGTCCAGCTCTGCCTTATCCCAGCTCTGCCTTATCCCAGCCCTCAGTGATTTCACCTCATTCCCATAAGCTTTATTCTCCAGCCTCAGTGCTTTCCTTCCATCCCTGGCTCTGTGGAGGCTCAGCTCTGGATCCAGAGGCTGTATTCCACCCCAGCTCCAGATCCCAGCCCCAACCCAGTGTCTCTAGCTCAGCTCAGCCTGATGGGATTTATCCAGAGCCAGCCCCACACTCAGTGTTTCAGCTCATTCCCACAAGCCGTACTTTCCAGCTCCAGGAGATTCATTCCAACCCAGCTCTATCTTACCCCTGCTCCAGCTGAGATCCCATCTCCAGTCCCAGCCCCAGACAAGACCACAGCCCTCAGTGATTTCACCTCATTCCCACAAGCTTTATTTTCCAGCTCCAGGAGATTCATTCCTATCTAGCTCTGCCTTACCCCAGCTCCAGTCTGCAGCCAAGATCCCTGTCCCAGCCAAGATCCCTGTCCCAGCCATTTCACCTCATTCCCACAAGCTTCATTCTCCAGCCCCAGTGCTTTCATTCCTGCCCTGCCTCTGTGGAGGTTCGGCTCTGGCTCCAAGGTCTCTATTGCAGCCCAGCTCCAGATCTCAGCCCCAGAGCAGTGTCTCCAGTTCAGCTCAGCCCTATGGGACTTACCTAGGTCCAGCCCCACACTCAGTGTTTCAGCTCATTCCCACAAGCTTTATTTTCCATCTCCAGGAGATCCATTCCAACCCAGCTCTATCTTACCCCAGCTGCAGCCAAGATCCCAGTCCCAGCAGATCCCAGCCCAAGGGAAGATCCCAGCTCTCAGTGATTTCACCTCATTCCCACAAGCTTTATTCTCCAGCTCCAGGCGATTCATTCCAGTCCAGCTCTGCCTTATCCCAGTCTCAGTGATTTCAGCTCATTCCCACAGTCTCTGTTCGCCAGCCCCAGCGCTTTCATTCCTCAGCCCTGGCTCTGTGGAGCCTCAGCTCTGGCTCCAGTCTCTATTGCAGCCCAGCTCCAGATCCCAGCCCCAACCCAGTGTCTGTAGCTCAGCTCAGTCCTATGGGATTTAATCACTCACTGTTTCACCTCATTCCCCCAAGCTTTATTTTCCAGCTCCAGGAGATTCATTCCAGTCCAGCTCTGCCTTATCCCAACTCTTGCCAAGATCCCAGCCCTCAGTGATTTCACCTCATTCCCACAAGCTTTATTCTCCAGCCTCAGTGCTCTCCTTCCATCCCTGGCTCTGTGGAGGCTCAGCTCTGCCTCCAGAGGCTGTATTCCACCCCAGCTCCAGATCCCAGCCCAACCCAGTGTCTCTAGTTCAGCTCAGCCCTATGGGATTTATCCAGATGCAGCCCCACACTCTGTTCCAGCTCATTCCCACAAGCCGTACTTTCCAGCTCCAGGAGATTCATTCCAACCCAGCTCTATCTTACCCCTGCTCCAACTGAGATCCCATCTCTAGTCCCAGCCCCAGACAAGACCACAGCCCTCAGTGATTTCACCTCATTCCCATAAGCTTTATTCTCCAGCCCCAGCGCTTTCCTTCCATCCCTGGCTCTGTAGAGGCTCAGCTCTGGCTCCAGTCTCTATTGCAGCCCAGCTCCAGGTCTCAGCCCCAACCCAGTGTCTCTAGCTCAGCTCAATCCTATGGGATTTAATCAGATCCAGCCCCACACTCAATGTTTCAGCTCATTCCCACAAGCTTTATTTTCCAGCTCCAGGAGATTCATTCCAGTCCAGCTCTGCCTTATCCCAGCTCTGCCTTATCCCAGCCTTCAGTGATTTCACCTCATTCCCACAAGCTTTATTCTCCAGCCTCAGTGCTTTCCTTCCATCCCTGGCTCTGTGGAGGCTCAGCTCTGCCTCCAGAGGCTGTATTCCACCCCAGCTCCAGATCCCAGCCCCAACCCAGTGTCTCTAGTTCAGTTCAGTCTGATGGGATTTATCCAGAGCCAGCCCCACACTCAGTGTTCCAGCTCATTCCCACAAGCCGTACTTTCCAGCTCCAGGAGATCCATTCCAACCCAGCTCTATCTTACCCCTGCTCCAGCTGAGATCCCATCTCCAGTCCCAGCCCCAGACAAGACCACAGCTCTCAGCGATTTCACCTCATTCCCACAAGCTTTATTCTCCAGCCCCAGGGCTCTCCTTCCATCCCTGGCTCTGTGGAGGTTCAGCTCTGGCTCCAGAGGCTGTATTCCACCCCAGCTCCAGATCCCAGCCCCAACCCAGTGTCTCTTGTTCAGCTCAGCCCTATGGGATTTATCCAGATCCAGCCCCACACTCAGTGTTTCAGCTCATTCCCACAAGCCGTACTTTCCAGCTCCAGGAGATTCATTCCAACCCAGCTCTATCTTACCCCTGCTCCAGCTGAGATCCCATCTCCAGTCCCAGCCCCAGACAAGACCACAGCTCTCAGTGATTTCACCTCATTCCCACAAGCTTTATTTTCCAGCTCCAGGAGATTCATTCCAGTCCAGCTCTGCCTTATCCCAGCTCCAGTCTGCAGCCAAGATCCCTGTCCCAGCCCTTTCACCTCATTCCCACAAGCTTTATTCTCCAGCCCCAGTGC